TGTGAGGAGGGTGGACTTTGCTCTACCGATCTCCAAGACTCAAACAGAAAGCAACGTGAGCTCTAGTTGGCTTCAGTCATCATTCTGGCCACGCTCGGTGATGCGTTTCACCCCGCCCATCGGGGGGGCTTGGTCACAGAGGCTGGGAAAAACAGACAGCACTGAAGCTATATGTAGCATCATCGGTCGTGAAGGAAGGTAAGTAAGTGCAGGTGAAGGGAATAATGGTAATGATAGTAAATAAGGGATAATCAAGAAGCAAAAGAGAAAAATAGAAATATATGTAATACTGTGTGCAAGGAAAAACTATATATAAATGGGAAAAGAGAAAAAGTATAAGTAAAAAAGGAGGGGGGAAAAAAACTAGTAACGAAGAGAAAAAAGAGCAAAAGAAGAAAAATAGAGGAAGATCAGATGAAAAAGAAAATAATAATACATAAAAAATTTACATAAAAATGCAAAAGTGAGTGTAAAAAATAAAAATAAACAAAAAAGAATTTAAAGATAAACTTTATTCAAAACAGATCACGTAAAAGGGAAAAAAAGAAGAGAAAGAAAAAATGAAAGTGACAAGTAAAATGATAAAATGTTGTGTGTGAGAATGTGAAAAATAATATTAAAAAATTATTATAAAAACATAATGAAAATGAAAATACAAAACGGTATGTTGTCCTTACTCAGGGACATCATATAGGACATGGATAAACAACAAGGAGTCCATATATCAGGAGGAAATGAATGTCAGTAATTCTCAAAAACAGCGTTATTTTATTTTATTATATGATGTCTGCTTCATAAAGCCAGAAGAGAGAGAAGTGTAAGGAAGAATTCTATTATTCATAATAGTGGGTGATGTCCCATTCAAAAATTCTATTATTCATAGTAATAGGTGACATCACATTTATAGTTCAACATATATATTCCTTTGGGTATCTTGAGTCTGAATATCCAGAATACGTCTCTCTTACAACGGTGAGAGAACAGGTTGCCTCCTCTGTTATGGGGATCTATACTCTCTATAACTTGTACTCTGAGAGTGTAGGCATCTAAATTGTGATGTACTCTAAAATGTCTAGAGATATTGGTTTCTTTTGTTTGTTCTTATGTTCGATAGATGATCTCGCATTCTGTCACATAATCGTGTGGTTGTTCGGCCCCCCCCCGGTGAAACTATATTGCCCATTGTTTGAGCCCTTCTGGCTACACATTTCACATTGTTCATCAGTATCTTCTTGTAATTTGGATCACCATACAGGATGGGAAAATATTGAGAGATATTGATTACTATACCGTGTTGAAAAAACTCAGACTATAAGTTTGCTCTCTTCTTGTTGCCTTTTGTGCCTGGGATACCCCCATTGTCCAGTAAGCCTCGTCAAGATGTGTGAAATCAGATATTTATTATAGCCTCATTGTAAGAACATATCTTTCATTTCTTTAGCATGATTCTCAGAATCCTTCATAAGAGAGCAGTTTCTTCGAATGCAGATAAACTGTCCTATCAGGATTGCATTGATGGCATGTTTTGGGTGACGACTGGAGGAATGAAGAATGGAATTTTTTTATATAGGCTTCTGAATGCCATGATAATGACTTGTTGTAGTTGTGCAGAGCCCAATAGGGTCCTCACTGCCTGTCAAATGCTTGCTAAAGAACGATCTGAACTCAAATTGCTCTGCAGAGACCAACACAGGTGTAAATGAGGCCTAAATGTTATAATCTGAAGGTACCATCTCCTTTGGATCTACTAACAATGTAGTATGAGGGCCAACATGATTTAGGAGGTAGCTGTTTATATTGCATACTTTGGTAAATCTAAATTTGATTGCACAAAGGGTGTATAATCAGATTTTAATGAGTATGGTAAGGTTTAGAGCAGGGGTGTCAAACTCAATTTAATCACGGGCCACGTTAGCATTATGGTTGCCCTTGTATCTGTAAGACTAGATCAGAGCATCCCATCCCCCCTTACATCAGTTGTCAAGAGCTCCCCATCTACAGAAGTTGTGTCCCCTACCGTCCCTTGCATTACAGTGGACCCCCCTTTTTTGCTGCTGCCGGGATGCAGCTGGGGGTGGAGCTGGGAAGCAGAAAGGATCTGGAGGAGGACCACAGGAGGATTGGAGTCTACTGAATGCTGAGACCAGTGGAGGAAGAGACACAAAAGGGTGCTGCAGTTGCAGAGAGATGCAGGATGTGTAGTAGGAGTTTAATCCTCCTCTCTGCGGGGAGGGGGGGGGTTTCAAAGACCAGCCTTCATGACTGCAAGCTGAAGTGCAGGATCTGGTGGAGGAGTTCTGTCTTTTTCTTTGCTGCCGACTGGTGAGTCAAGGTGGGGGTGGAGACAAGGGGGGAGCCGCAGCTGCAGGAGAGGTGCAGGGACTACATGAAATGGCCTGGTGGGCCAGATTCGACCCTTCTCAAGCCTTGTGTTTGACACGTGTTTCATAGCAACTTTCTAGCAGGGCATTTGTGAATATGAAGGTTAGATGATACTGTGTCATATTTTTTTTTCTGTTGATACTGGAACTTTTCCTGTTACAGATGTTACAGGTTTTGGTGGCAAAATATTTTCATATTTATTATGAAATGCTATGTTTTTTGGGAGATCTCCTTTAAGTTTTCTTGAAAAAAAATTGTGTCGACTTTTTATTCTTAACTAAGTTTTTCCCGTGACTTTTGCCTTGTAATAGAAAAAGAAACCCCGCAAAGACAGTGTTTTCAGAAATATGTTATTTTCTGTCTGACAAGAAAATGTCTTTATTCCAGCAAAGATATTCAGACTTTTTCTTACTTTTTTTTCTTTACTTGCAATAAACCTCTTTTACCTGAGCTGGTTCTCTCAACATGCTGAAAATGAACCGTAGATTAAAGATGTCTCTGAAAAGGAGTGCATAAAAGCAAGGGCCTGAACTTACCATCATTTCCTCATTATCCTCTGTTCCTTGGCAGCAAAATTAGATCATAAGCTCTTTAGGGCAAGGAGAGAAGGCGCCTTGGAAAAATTCAGAGCACGTTCTGCTGGAGCAGCACAGAATAAAGGCCCCACAATGGTGATAAGTTAACTCAGCAGAAGGCGGACGCCTCCAACTTTCTACAATTCCTGGGCCAAGCTGTGCCATCGAGCCCCCGAATGTCATATTGAGATCCAAGGGTGAAAGACGGTGCAGACGGTATACCCAGTGGCAGATTATTCCTTTCTTGTTCAATTCTAGCTTGATGTTTTGTTTTCTTAATTTATTGTTCAGTAGTTACTTTCCCGCCACCCTATAGTAGAAACACTGCTACAAGGTGGCAGGGGTGTGCAAAATCACACACACACACACACATATATATACACAGGTGATTTAGCATTTCTAGATAGGAGGCGCTCCCTACCCGCGCCGCCATTGGCAGCCTCACCTGTCGATTACCAGGTCCCGGCCAGTGATTCCCTGCCGGCGATCGCCGTGTATTATGGACGGGGGACCCTTGTATGTAAATAATACAGATCTCTCCTGTCAGCTCCTGCACACTGTTTTGTATGGCTCTGCATAGCAGAGCCATACAAAGCAGTGTGCTTATAGTATATATATATATATATATATACACAGCACACAGTGAAACAGCACACAGTTAACCCTTTGATCACTTCCAGATGTTAACTTCTTCCTGCCCAGTGCCATTAGTACAGTGTCAGTATATATATATATATATATATATATATACACAGCACACAGTGAAACAGCACACAGTTAACCCTTTGATCACCTCCAGATGTTAACTCCTTCCTGCCCAGTGCCATTAGTACAGTGTCAGTGGTTTTTATTAGCACTGATCACTGTATTGGTGTCACTGGAGATAACAGTCAGTTCCCTCCAGTGTCAAAATGTCTGCCGTAGTCCCGCAGACCCGCTATAAGTTGCTGATCGCTGCCATTACTAGTATAAAAAAAAAATCCAGCACATATACCTCCATTTGTAGATGCTATAACTTTGACATAAACCAATTAATTTACAAATATTGGGATTTTTTTTTGCAAAGACATGTAGCAGAATACATTTTGGCCTAAATTTATGATGAAATTTGTTTTTTTTTTGTTTTTTAACTGGACATGTTTAATAGCAAAAAGTCAAAAAGAATGTTTTTTTATCAAAATTCTCAATCTTTTTTTTATAGCGCAAAAAAATTAAAACGCATAGGCGATCAAATACCACTGAAAGAAAACTCTATTCGTGGGTAAAAAAGGACATAAATTTAATTTGGGTGCAGCGTTGTATGACCGTGCAACTGTCAGTTAAATTAATGCAGCTCCGTATTACAAAAAATGGGCTGGTCAGGAAGGGGGGTAAATCCTCTGGAGGGCAAGTGGTTAAAGATAATCTTTACCCTGGGAACAAAAAATGAAAAGTCAGCAGCTACAAATACTGTAGCTTCTGACTTTTCATACAAGGGCACTTACCTGTCAAAGGATCCAGTGTTGTCCTCAACCAAGCTGATTTTTCACCGGTCTTCAGGTCCCCAATGCCAGCATTTTTAGTGTGGGAAGCTGGTCATGAAGCCTTGCGACTTCACAGCTAGCTTCCCACAGAGCACGTGCGAGCCATGCTGTGCTTTGTGAATGACTCCGCAGCCTTCTGGGACCTGTGACATATCCCAAAAGCCTGCAGGCAAATCGGGGGCGTGGAAAGTTATTTTTATAGCAGAGGGTATGCAGCATTTTGTGATGCTGTTTAACCCCTTGCCTCCCACACCTGTTCACCCCCCATGGACCAGAGCAGTTTTTACAATTCTGCTATGGTCTTGTTTTTTTGGCAATGACTTTATCACTTCTTAAGATAACAATATAGTACATATATTTTCTTTCTCCTCCCGCCCGCCATATAAGGAAATGACGGACGGGCGGCGGTTCTCTTGTTCTGAGAGGACGTCATATGATGTCCTCCCACTGTAACTGTGCCTGTGTGCCCCCCGGGGCGCGCGGCGATCGGTGGTGTGCTGTGTCCCTGGGACATAGGCTCTATCATGTGATCAGCAGTGTCCAATTACAGCTGATCGCATGCAAACAAGGAAATGCCAGTTATCAGCAGTCCTCTCCTCACGCTGACATCATTCCTCAGAGGGGACATCTACACTGATCATCTGAGCACTGATAATCAGTGCAGTGCCATTAGTGCCACCTGTCAGTGCTCATCTATTCCACATACCAGTGCCCATCAATGCACCGGTGCACATCAGTGCCACATATCAGTGCCCATCAGAGCTGCCTTTCAGTGCCACCAATCAGTGCCACCTATCAGTGCCAGTCAGTGCCGCCTATCAATGCCGCTTATCAGTACCCGTCAGTGCCGCATAAACAGTTCCAATAAGTGCTGCCTGTCAGTGTCAGTCAGTGACACCTATCAGTGACTGTCAGTGCCATATATGAGTGCTGCATTTCAGTGCCCATCAGTGATGCCTGTCAATGCCCACCAGTGATGCTTGCCCATCAGAGCCACCTACCAGTGCCTCCTCATCAGTGCTGCCTATCAGTGCAGCCTATCAGTGCCCATCAGTGCAGCCTCATTAGCGCACATCAGTGAAGTAGAAAAATTACTTATTTAAAAAATGTTATAACAAAAAACTTTTTTTCAACATTTTCAGTCTTTTTTAGTTTGTTTAACAAAAAATAAAAAAAAAAACTCAGTGGTGATTAAATACCACCAAAAGAATTCTCTATCTGTCTCAAAAAAAAATTATAAAAATTTTGGTTGGGTACAGTGTTGCATGACCGCCTAATTGTCTCTGAAAGTGCGACAGCGCTGAAAGCTGAAAATTGGCCTGGACAGGAAGGGGGTAAAAGTGCCCTGTAGGCAAGGGGTTAAAGATGGCCCTTATCCATATTCCCTAGTCTATTTTGAAAGCGAGCAAGAAGGGTGGCTACTTTCGGACATACAGTGGGACCATTGAGTACAAATGTGGCCACCTTCTAACAGCAAGTCCGCTTACAGCAGCAAAAAGGAGAAAAAAAAAGGAGTTTGGAAGAGAGCATAAGAAGGTATATTTGAGTTTAGAACACATACTTGAATACATTTTCTTTTTCAAACCCAAGTTTAAGAATGTATTGTTTTTATGATGGAACTGATGTTTCTTTTTTGTATATACGAAAATAAATAAAAATTTAAATTAAAAAAAAAAACAAGTTTAAGCAAACATTTATACCCCAGAGTTGTACAGGTCTTCATAGATCCTAGGCATGGCTGTTATACTCTCCAGGATCTACATGCTGGATGCTTGTTAGTGAGATTACAGTAAGCTACCCTGCCTTACCATTAGGCATTGTAGAACTGCCACTGCACTGATTGCCTATCCATTCGTCGTTGGTTGACACCTGTGTTTCTTTTTTCAGTCAAGTCACCCTTTAAAATCATGGACAGTCCTGAGGCACCCTTTGAAATTTTGGACAGTCTTGAGGCACCCCATTATAAATGTGAAAAACTTTTCTAATAGTTTTATATAACACAGCAGCAACATCCACACACATAGGACACTCAACATTAGAGGGGATTTATTCTTCCAAAGCAAATACACTTTTGCACACTGGTACTGACTAGTATTCCAATGTTTCTCTTCTTCCTCAGTTTCTCTCCATCACTGAGATTATGCGACCCCAGCACTGATGGAGAAGGGCAGGGGAGGGTCAAACTAGGATGCTGTGCAGGCAGCTGACATCCTCCTTATCAACTGATGATGTCATTGGTTTTTAGGACACCGACGGCTAGAAGGTCGTAATGGTGCACAATGAGAACCTGTGGCCTTGTGTAACTAAAAGGCAGGCTTGTTACACCCTCTGGCTTGTATACATTTTCTGGGCAATTTTTAGACATTTTGCCAAGGCACCCCTGAAAAAACCTCAGGGCACCCTGGTTGAGAAAGGCTGGTTTACACAATCTGCAATAATATACTGTACCTAATATAAAGAAATACATGTGAAAATAAAATCCTGATAATTATCAACACCTATTATATTGCGCTGAATTTGATCAATGTGTGAAAAGCTGCCACTTTATATAAACCATAATGAATAAATAAACACACAACACATAATAAATATAGTGTTATAGTGGCGCTAAATGAAAAAAAAAAGTGATAAAGTGAATACCACAAAACAAATGTGAACAATGAAACTAATTAAACATCCGTGATTATTGTGCTCAAAACTTTATTTAAATTATAGTGATCCAAAGTCCATAGAAAACTTAATATAGTAATCCAAAGTCCATAGAAAACTTAATATAGTGATCCAAAGTCCATAAACGTATTTCTTTTCCTTTACCACGTGCTTTAAACTGATAATCGAGTGCTTCACAGAAATCCTCCACATGGATGTACACTCACCACAGATAATTGCCTTCCTCTCTCCTGGTTGGCAAACAAGCTTCCTGGGATAATCCTCCCAGTTATAAATGATGCTTATACATTGCATGAGAAAGAAACTCCACTGCATCAAGATATACCATGTAAAACATAAACAGAGAGATGCTCCAATGGTATAGTATAAAATCCAAGATCCTTTAATTTAGTGAATGGACATTACTCACAAGCAAACGAGTATAAACAAGCTCAAGTAATTTGACCATGGATTAGCCCGAAGTGATCATAGACCTGGTGCTCTCACCACCTCCGGATTGTTGGTAACTGACGCCGTCACGTCACTTCCGGTTACGGTCCACATCACTTCCGGTGGTCGCACCAGCACGCCTGATGCATTTTGTCACTTCCAACTTACTCATAGGGGTGACAGTGCAGTGCGTTGTGTCAATCTTTATAGAGCCGACAATCAGAGAAAAGACAGCTCTGATTGGCCAGCTTCAACATTCACCTGCAAACAGGAAGCGAGGTGGAAACCTGGCAGAAGTACTCACAATTTAATAATGCAATTATGGGCAAAAACAAAATTATATTTTGGGCAAAACGAAATACATAAAAACCTGATAAAAACCTGATAAAACAAGTAAAGGGACTCCATTTGGCATATAAATGCAGTCATATAGACATGTATGACAATCTACATAAGACATACAGTACATACAAACAATTAACATAAAATATAAAAATTACATACAAGAAATTAAAAATAAAAATATATAAATTTCAGTCAATAATAAAAATAGAAAAAAATAGAAAAATATTGGAAAACAGAAAAAATACTTTAAACTCCAAATTAAATTAATGATGTTATCAACAAACCCAATTAATAGATGATGGACATAAGAGACTACCGTATATACTCGAGTATAAGCCGAGTTTTTTCAGCACATTTTTTGTGCTGAAAAACGGCCCCCTCGGCTTATACTCGAGTCAACATCTGCAGATAGTGGGGCAGGGGGGGCGCGAGGCTCTGTCAAGGGGGGCGCGTACAGGGTGGGCAGAGGGCTGCTGTCTCTTACCTGGCTCCCACGATGATCCATCCAGGAAGCGCTGCTCCTTCCGTCACTCCGGCCACTCCCTCACTCCTGCCTCTCGGCTCCGCCTCCTCACCGGTGATTGGCCGCCAGAACTGTAGCTCAGGAAAGGTACACAGGTGGCCAATCACGGGCGAGGAGGCGGAGCCGAGCGGACCCGCGAACATCGAGTGAGGGAAAAGCCGGTAAGTGTGCAGTGCAGAGGTGCTGCTGCAACCACATATGCTGGCTGCAGCAGCACCATACTGCAACAGGGGTCAGCAAGTGTCATTGGTGTCAGTGGGAGGAATAGTGCCGCATCATTGGTGTCATTGATACTGATGATGGGGCATTATTCCTCCCACTGACACCAACGATGGGGCACTATTCCTCCCACTGATACCAATGATGGGGCACTATTCCTCCCACTGATACTAATGATGGGGCATTATTCCTCCCACTGACACCAATGATGGGGCACTATTCCTCCCACTGATACTAATGATGGGGCATTATTCCTCCCACTGACACCAATGATGAGGCACTATTCCTCCCACTGACACCAATGATGGGGCACTATTCCTCCCACTGATACTAATGATGGGGCATTATTCCTCCCACTGACACCAACGATGGGGCACTATTCCTCCCAGTGATACCAATGATGGGGCACTATTCCTCCCACTGACACCAATGATGGGGCATTATTCCTCCCACTGATACCAATGATGGGGCACTATTCCTCCCACTGACACCAATGATGGGGCACTATTCCTCCCACTGATACTAATGATGGGGCATTATTCCTCCCACTGACACTAATGATGGGGCACTATTCCTCCCACTGACACCAATGATGGGGCACTATTCCTCCCACTGACACCAATGATGGGGCACTATTCCTCCCACTGATACTAATGATGGGGCATTATTCCTCCCACTGACACCAACGATGGGGCACTATTCCTCCCAGTGATACCAACGATGGGGCACTATTCCTCCCACTGATACCAATGATGGGGCACTATTCCTCCCACTGACACCAATGATGGGGCACTATTCCTCCCACTGATACCAATGATGGGGCACTATTCCTCCCACTGACACCAATGATGGGGCACTATTCCTCCCACTGATACTAATGATGGACACTATTCCTCCCACTGACACCAATGATGGGGGACTATTCCCTCGGCTTATACTCGAGTCAATAGTTTTTCCCAGTTTTTTGTGGTAAAATTAGGTACCTCGGCTTATATTCGGGTCGGCTTATACTCGAGTATATACGGTATACTAATATATCATAAAACCATAATACTGTAATATTATGGCAATATAATTCCTGAAATGTCCTTTATTTGTATCCCTATCCCAGTTGGATACTATATTGATTGTATAATACCCAATTTCACGATTAAGTGTCACTAATGAAACAATTATTATCCAGTTCTACATTCAGTCCCCCTGGTGTTAGAGATTTTAATAAATATATCCATTTAGTTTCTGTATGTGATAAATCCCTTATTCTATTTGATCCTCTCCACTTTGGGGAATTTCAGTAGTGAGGGATCTTTCTGGTGATACCCAGCAAAATGGTCAGAAACATATTGGTGGATAAAGCCCTTCCTAATGTTCTTCATATGTTCTGCTATCCTTGTTTTCAGAGGTCGTTTAGTTCTTCCTATATAAATCAACCCGCATGGACACTGTATGGCATACACCACATTGGTGGTGTCACAAGTTATGAACTCAGGGATTTTAAATTCACGATTCACTGTATTAGATGTAAAACTTTGGAGTTTAGTTATATTATTATTGGTGGTACGTCACGCTTTACATTTTTTTCAGGCATTGAAACCATTTTTATGGGGAAACATTGAAGATGTTTTTGACATATCTAATATCTTT